ACAAATTTTTAATAAAAATAGCAAAATATTTATAAGTGTGACTATTTGTTTAATTTCAAAAAAAAATACCCTCGCCCCCACTCCCCCGCTAAAAATTTCGGCTATGGGTCTGTATATTTGGTATTTAGAGGTTGATTTTTTTAAAAAAAATGAAAAATATTTCACGTTAGGATTATTTTTTACCATATTTGCATTTCATATAAATTTTTACCATGAATATTTTCAAAACTTATATACTAATTAATTTTTCAGATCTACTCTAAGATTCCTGTCAGAAAAAATTACCCTTTTATTTTATAAATTATTGGGTCATAAATTTATAGTTATGATTTCTACTTATGTCAGCAAATCAATTATTTGCAAAATTTTTGATTATTTTATGTAAATATTTTCCGAAATTAAAATTTCCCACAAAAAGTTAAAAAAAAGTTAGTCATTCTTAGGTGCAAAATTTTTAGAATCTGTAAATATTGATTAAGGTTATGCAAAACCTAATTTATTTTAAATTGATAAACATTGGCTTTTTAAGAAGAAATTTTTAGAAAATTAAGACACTAAAAATAGTAAACTTTAAAAAATCCAGGCGTATACTAAAAATTTTAACAAAATTTTCCAAAATAGCAAAATTTTAAATTCTAGGGAACTTAAAAATGATCAAAAATCGAAACCCGGGTCACCAAAATAAATTTCTTTTCAAATTTTTTGACATTCTGTAGATCTCTTATATATTTATTTTTGTTCTACAATATTTTTATACAAAATCCAAAGGAAGGAAGTATTCCTACATTATAACAAGCTCCTATATTTTGAAATTGCATATTTTTTTTAAAAAAAAGTTAATATTAAAAACTATTTTTTCTAGTACGTCAACAATTAAATATTATATACATATACTTCGCATTAAATTAACAATAATTTTAAAAAAATAAATATTCTTATGATTTTACGTTACTTTATTAATGTTTTATAAACCCTCTTTCTACGTTTGTTTTCCTCAAATTATTATTTCAAAAATTTATAGAATTTCTCTGATTTAATCCCTTTTTGAATTCAAAAGAAACTTTAAATGATCGAAGCACTGCAAAGATATCGATGCCATGCAGCAAAATTCTTTGGGATCTAATCTTAATCTTGTTGATTCTTGCTCAGGCTACTAATGCCAATTATAAACTGATTTCTGCAAAAATTATTACCAAATTATATTGTAAATATCTACACTTTGAAGAGCAATCAACCCAAGGGGATTCAGGTTTCAATTGCACATCGCTAATTTTTAATCATCGCTATAACTCGATTTTGATTGGGGATGTAATTAAACCAAAAAAACGAAATCATTTTAAGCGAATCTTTGAGCTTACATTATCTGGAAAAGACAATTTGTTTTATGCAGCACATCCCGGAATTACCTGTTATATCAGGAGAAACCTAGAAGTGGATTCGTTGAGGATAGATGGCTTAAATTTGAATCATATGAAGTCAAGCCCACGTAAGTGCGTTGTTTGGCACTCTAACAAAATTCGCAAACTTAAACTCACTATGATGTCCATTAAAAGGGTTTATTTTGGTTCTCCTCAGGCTTTGTATCATAATTATGTTTACTCAAATCCTTCCTGGCACTCTTGTGTGATTATTTCAATGCAATTATCCCACTTGGATTTATCTCAAAACTATATAAACGATATTTCCTTGATAAGCTACTACAAGCTAAATTTAAACATGCAACTTAAAAGATTTAAACTTGAATTTATGAATGCTAGTCACAATGATATAAATGTAGTACCAGCCCAGATACTGAAATATATGACGAGGCTTAAGGTGTTAGACCTGAGTTACAATCCTTTAATAACAAGAGATATGGTATACACTTACAATTTATTACCCTCTATGAAGGAAATTTATCTCCATGATTTTGGAATAATGGCTTATTACCAGTGTAACTCCAATGCACACCTTGAAAAATTTAAGCTAAATTATTTCAACATAAGTCACGATGGTATGAGGCTGGTGCCAATTTTGATAAAGAAATATATGACTAGGCTTTTCATCTTAGAAGTTGAATCACACTAAAAAAATATATAGATTACCATATTCTCACCAAATAGTAGGAAAAGCTATCTTCATATATTAATTTTAAATCTCTCGATTACCAAATTTTTAAAACATGAAATATTTGAAAATGAAATAAATATTCATTCTTGTTATATTATAATTTATGATAAAGATAATTATGTACAAAGCTGTTAATAAATTTCGCATGCATTTATAAAAAACAGATAAATCATTCGTGATAATCAGACTATTAAAAATTGTTCAATAACCGTGTTTATGACATTGAGCAAATCAGGTCAACAGGGCACCTTGTACGATAGAGGTGCATCTTGATTGGAACTCAGTGGCACATAGGCTTAGCAAAAGGGGACTTAGAATGACGCCAGGAAACTTGCCTATTTTTATCATTTTAAGTTAATAAAAAAATTTCCATCTAATCTTTTTATCCTCTCCCCAAAAGTTGTATACCATATCTCGCCATTCAAAATTTTCCGAAAAAAAGGAACATTTTTTAATAATAAAAAGATAATATTTATTATTCATATAACTCGGCCAAAAGCTTGTAATAGGTGGACCTAAATATCTCCTATAGAATTTAATGGTGGTGATTCCCTTGGCCGTTATTTATTTTTATTAATTTATAACATTTCTTTTCTTAAAATAATTTCCTTCTACCCGAATTACAAATTTGTTAAATTTCATTAGATTAGATAGAAAATTTCCCATTTTTGTCAGTTTAGGAATTGAATTACTGGTTAGCAGATAATGTTCTTATTGTTTATCATGATTAAAAGTAAGAATTGTCAAATTCTAATTATTAGGGCAACAAAATTGAAACGAGTTCTAATATAAAATGATAAACGTTATTGGATGTTTTCGTGGCCTAAGAAAACTCGAAAAATAAGTTCTAACCCTATATAAATAGATTATAGATAAGTGCGAAGTTTTCTCTTCTAAAAGCTTTTCAATAATAAAAAGATATGGAAAATGAGTTAAAGCGTTTTTGCTAAAATAAATCCAAAACTAAAAATATTGATACATAACACTGAAATAGATTAAATTCTTTTTTATTAATATTCGTTTTTTTTAGTAATCACTATATACCAATATTATTTATAATAAAAACAACATTTTAAATTATATAAAAATATAGTAGTGTATGATAATATTAAATATATTATAATATATATCTAAGAATTTCGGAATTTTTTTTTGTTAGGTATTAAAAATATATGTTTTTACAAAAATTAAAATTTTTAAAAGAAATTTATGATAAAATTTTTATTAAAACTCTAAAATTTCATAATCGTTAATAATTAGCATTGTATATAAAATCGAATATTCTCAAGTAATAAAGATTGGTGTTAAATAGGTATTACAATTAAAAATAATGAGGATATTCCTAAAGGGTAATTCTTCCACAATTCTAGATATATATTGTATGTATGTAATATATTTAGGTAATTCCAATTTCAGTTCAGTGTGCTATATAATATATAAAAAATGCTGCGAAAAAAAAACTTTTATTTTATTGATTAAGGAACAATTTGTAACTTAGAAAGCGTAATATAATAAGTGTTCTCATAGAGGCGATGATAGACGAAAGCGGAATCTGATATCAAACATATAATACAGTATTAATATGATTTGCTGTATGACATTTCCATATATATTTTTAACATCTTTCTAACAAAATTGTTTAACTTGCTATAATTATGCTTATAAAATTTTATCAACATATTTCTTACAAATAATTACCGTAAGTTAAACAATTTTATAAGAAAGTTGTTGAAAATATATAGAAATGTTTTATAACATATATTATTACTACTGTATCTATAATGACATGTTGGATATTTAACTAAAGTCAAAATATGGTATTACGATAAATATAAAGCTATTTATGTGGTACAAAAATATTAATTAATCAGTAAAAAAAATTAGAATGTGTTAATTTTTTTTTATTTTTGCTAAAATTTAAAAAAAAAATTATGTATTATAATTTTCCAAAAAAATAAAATAAGTAATATTCGTTAGAAAAAAAATTGTTAAATAAAAAATTAATTTTTTAATTTTATCAAAAAAAATATTATTATAAAATTTGTTTGATTTGTTTTGAATATCAAGTTTGAAAATAGCCTGTTTTCTTTAAAAACAAGTTCATTTGATAATTTTTTACAAAAAAAATCGTAAGGTAAAATTATAAAAAAATATAACATGACTCGCTGCAATTTTCTGTGTAATATAAAATTGGAAAATATAAAGAACAATATATATATGCTAAAATATAGTATGAAATATGAATGATGACAAGGGAAAAAAAATTAACACTGAATAAGGCATAATGATAAGAAATAATATTTTATGTAAATAGCTAAATTCCCATAAAAATATGTAATCACTAAGGGCTACTATGGTTAATTGTATGATTTTAACGCAGTTCTATAAAGCCAGTTTTAATCATAGTTATAAAGGGTTTTATATTATAGATAAATTAGTAAGAAGAATCTTTTTATAAATTTGCTAAACTCAAAATTTATAATATTATGGCAGCAAATAATAAATAAATTTAACTTTAATCACTTAATTTTATATAATCAAAGAAATTATGTGCTATTACATTCTCAAAGAAAAATTATTGCACAAAAAATTTAAACAATATTTTTTTTTTAATTATATATGTATAGTTTTTTTTGTAATTTTTTATATTATATTTACAATCACCCAATAATTTCTATGAATTATCTTTTAACAATTTTTGATGCATTGAGGAAATAAAATAGGGATTGATGATTGTATAAAAAAAATTTTTAAAAAATAATATAAATCAGGTATATAATATTTTAGGATTTCTTTATAAAGATTTGATTTTAAAAATATAAAAATAAATTATATATATTATATAATCTCTGTCTCTAAAATTAATATATGTTAGACCTGAGTTAATGATATTTCTGTATTATGGATAGCTTAAGAATTATAAATACATCGGATATTATAATATGCAAAAAAAGTATAAAGTGTTACTTTATATTTAAAAATGATTATAAAATTTTAAACATTTTGCATTTAATGACTTAGTTTATATTTGACGAATATTTTATATAAATAAAATGGCGCATAAAATAAATAATATTCCATGTTATCTTTTCACGAATAATATGCCCCCAGGGCTTAAAATGGTTCCCTTAAATATTTATGAATTTATGTACAGGATATCTTGATAAGGTATATATGACATGTTGGCGGGATCTCCCAATATGGTTAGTTTTTTCGATTTTCAGCACAACCGAAAAGGCAGCATACGGGGCCGGTCACCACCTTCCTTGACTAGTGGCTTGTGAAATTCCTTACCGGGTCTAGAATGGACAGCCGACCAGCACGCCTCGCAATAATATTTGAGGCAGGCCACGTTGGCGCAGAAAAAGGGCGCGTATTTATGGGCACAGCGGATTCCTCCACATTCGTCGCACCCTTGGTCGTCTAAGACGTAAGGTTTTACCTCAACCTTTATAAAAAATATAAACAATTAATTAGAAAAAGGAAGAAAATAAAAAAAGTGAATATTTGACAAATTTATAAAATGTCACGAGGAATAAAATATTAGTATACGAATGAAAGAAATATTTTCTAAAAAATTCTTTTACCTAGCGCCTTTTTCAATTGTTATTTAATGTTGTATAAAAATTCATAGATTTACCCTCTCATGCTATAACAAAAATAGGGGAAAAATCATTGTTAAGGCATCGTTATAAAGCCCTTCTAAAAAGATCAAATTTTCAAAAATGTCAATTTTTTTTCTAAAATTGAACAACAGTGTCAATTTATTTTGCTAAATGGATCTTATAATGCAATTTTCCATGAAAGATGGCGGGTGTAGATAATTACGCCATCTAAAAAGTCAACATAATTTTAGTGATTTGCCATTAAAAATTTCAAATATTATAAATTTCATTCACAACCCATGAATAAATATAGACGTTCTAATGCATTAAATGAAATTTTATTAAAAACCGAAAACTTAGTCCTTATCTAACCTAGGGAGATTAATATTTCTATAAAAAATTTATATTTTATAGTTTCGACGATTTGTATAAAGCCCTTCAAAATTTTTTAAAGATTATAAAAAATAAATGAGTACAAAAAAAATTGATCAATTAATATTTTTGGATATTATATATAACTTGTTTTTGCTTTTGTGGTATTTATCAGCATAGAAAAGAATTAATATTTAAAAAAAGGTTATTTCACTACTTATAATAAGGGATTTATCAAAATATTTATTAGTCTCTTAATTAATATTAATTACATCTTAAAGCTACCCTCTTATGTTGGTAGGTACTATAGACAGTGTTCAGAAAAGAAAAATTCATTATTCCAAGCCCTAAACTACATTATTTTCTTCTTAATTATAATTTAAAAAAAATAATAGTTTACCCTTTTATCAATCTCTCCGTGCTGCAACTGAACGAAGCGGGCACTTATGGCGGAGACGTAACTTTGTTTAGTGCTAAACGCTACGCGTCCCGCTCCTTTGGGGTATTTTAATTCGGGATCCGTGTCAATACCCGCGTAACACACGTTACCGTATAGACGGTCCATTATGAGGGCTAGTTCGACTTTATTTTATAATGCGGAAGGAAAGAATTAGTTTGAGGTATATATATAAATAGAAAATGCAACTAATGAAGAAGAGACAGAATGAAAAGAGTACAGAAAAAAATATATAAACCAAAAAAAAGAAGAAGAAAGGATAACTTTCTGCCGACATACTATCAAATATCCCCTTAGATTCGACCCAATCCTTTAAGTCCGACGACAAGACTAGGTCACGAATGGTTGGAAGCCCTTTCCGGTCGAACCCTTGGTAATTTCTTATCAAATGAACTTGGAGTAGACATAGGTCGACACACAATTATATTTATTGCAACACTTTGGCCACCTCTTAAGGGAGGCATGGACTTAACTGTTTAATCTAATAAGTTGAATTCTAAAAGCTGCGCTCAACATCCCAAACATCTCGAACTTACCAATCTATCATCAGAGGAGGATGGTCTGAGACCAGATGGATTGTCTACAATCCCTTGGGATTTAGGCAAATCTCCAACTTGGGACTTCATTTGTTCCGCCTCTTTCCCATCAGACAAAAATTCGAATTCTTAACTAACAGCCGAGAAAAAGAAAAATAAAAAATATTTAAAATTATTAAACTACGTGTTCACTTCAATCATATTATCAACAAACGGACATTTTTCTCCCTTAACATAATTTTTAAAACTTTTATGCTCAAAAATTAAGATAGTAACTAAACTAATGAACAAAGCGAATTTTTCTTTATACGGTAAAAAATGCAAATTGATAAGTTGAAATATAACTGTGGCTCCTTTTTGAGAACCTAATTAAAAAATAGCTGGCCTTGGCCATGATATTTTAATTATATTATTATGTGTTTGATTTTTATGTTTTTAAAGTAAATATTATTATTATTTTTATAAACTGTTTTTATAATTTTATGTTATACGATATTATACTTAATAAATTACTTAATTTTAAAAAATTTAAACAAGTTGGGTAATTCAGTTTTTTTCGTTAGCTTGATATAACTTAAATAATGAAGGTTATACATTTTTATGTTTGTGTCACGAATAAACTACCAATATTTTTAAAAAAAAAGTCAATATAATTTTTCTTGTGTCAATAATCAGTATTATATAAAAGAGGACAATAATTTGATTAGTAAAAAAAAATTAAAAATTGGAAAAATTTTGGGACATCATTTATATGGAGAAAATGCTCATTTCTATGCTATTTGGAAAGACTTAAAAATGCATTTATTTAAATACTTATAATTCACTTATTGGAAGGGGTATGACAAATCAAATATATTTCAAAAACCTAATTAAATCGGCGCATATCATGGTCAAAAAAATGAAATCTAATCTACTGCTTTTTCAGTTTTGATTCTGAGCTTAACTGATATAATATAATGTCATTTTACCAATTCACGATTTTAATTAAAAAACGAATCAATATCTCGTTATAATAATCAAACAAATATATTGACTAAATTTTAACTTCCTTTACGGTTTTTGATGATTGGTATTTGTTTTACAGATACTGGGAGTTCATATACATTAATCAAATAGACACACCAATTACATACTTAGAAAAATAACTTTATAAAGATATATCTTTCTCTTTAGGAAGATTAACCATTTAAAAAGTCATCAAATATTTGTCCCAACGAATTTCTTTAACCTTGTCAATTCTTCTTTAACATTGACCATTCGTTCTCATTGCAAGTAAACAATAATATTAAAATTGAATTAACAAAAGTTATTAATGTTATTAGCTCAATGGCGTTACTCTTTTGTTTACCAGGTTATGAATATCATATATTTGGTCAGTTATTCATTTGACTACTATTCAATTGCTTTAATAATCAGTTCTAAATGTTATTGAAAGAAATATGGTACATAACTCCGTCATACTAATTTTCAATGTGAGCTGTGTTGCGCACCATATATTATATTTAACATGTTCAAAAGTAAAAGCGTTGAAATAAAATTTTAAAATTTTTTCTTACTTATCATCAAATTTGACTGTATGTGATGTAACAAATGCTGAATCCTCAGATTCGGGCATCATATTTTCGGTACTTATTCTGGTTGTTCATATATTTATTCTAAGCTAGTGATGTGTTCGTCTCTCTTATTGTATAGAACATAAATATCAGCATTCCATTTTTGTCTCTTATCCTTCCTTGCAACGATAAAAGAATTTTTTTCACCATTTAGCATATTACGGGTATAAATAAAAATTCTTTCTATGCTTTCGTGATGTTATGCTCATTATTATATGTGGTATTCATTATCCACGGTCCAACGACGTTGTCTTTATTTTAGCATTGATTATCATTTAAAGGTTTGATAGCGACACCTCTATATATTGATAGATCAACAATTCAATTACCCTGTGTAAGATATTTTATTTTGCTATTATTATATTTATAAATTCAAATTAATTACATTCATATTTATAATGATAAATTACATTAATAATTAATTATAAATGATATCGATATTTATTATTATAAATTAAATGAATATATAGTAAAATTATAAATATATTAATATTTATAATTTATAAAATATAAATTTTATGGAAATACTAGTTTACTAATTTCATAGTTCTAATGATTTTTTATTTAACAATAAATAAGAAATATAGGGGGAAAAGAGCAAGGGGTGGGGAGATTTAAAAAGAAATGGGAATCAATCAAAAATTGGTACATATTTTAAATAAAAATAGACAGTCTCGCTATATAAATCAATATGCCATATCATCTACTTTAAGTTCGTTAGTCTAGCGAGTGGGCGGGTTTTTTTAGCCAATGGGTTTAGTAGTATATCAAATATAAATATTAAAATTTTTCAAGGTAAAAAATTTCGACCCGTCGCAATTTGCCTGTTATAAAGCAAAATTTATTAATAAAATTTAAGAATTATAAGCTTGACTTTAAAAAATATGTGTTTTCTTATAAAAGTTTCCTTTTAAATTATCTATTATTTTTAAGGAGTAAATAAGCCCTATATTTTCAATTTTTCAAATCTCAATTAATGTACTTTTAAAGCTTATAAGTACTACATTAAATTTGATGGTCATTATATATCACATAAGAACAACATCTAAAACAATAATTTAAAATGACACTCATAATCATTTGTGGCCTTGGATCGATCCATGATCATTCATTCAGAAAGATAAGGTTAAAATGCTAAAAGTAATATTACGCGCTCTTAATGGTCTAGGTACCCCACCAACGAATATGGTCTTCCTGGGGTCTAGAGGCTGGGAAGAATCCAGCACAAAATCTGCGTCGTTAAGACTCCAGGCTCGAATTTGAACCTTTATTAGATTTATATTTATAAAAAAAAATTTAAAAATGTTTCGTGTTTCGAATTGGTACAATATAGTGGATTGGTAAAATCTCTTCATCTTTTTTAATATATTATTATAAAAATAAATGCTGCAATTTCTCCTGCAAAAATAATCATGCTTGTTAGTTCAATAATATATTTTAGTTTCCTTTTTTCCCCGTTTTTCAGTTTTCCAAGACCGGGGGCTCAACCTTTAAAACCCAAATATTGTAAAATTAGTTAACTTTCCTTTTTTTAAAAATTCTTAGATATTGATTCGATTATTTCATAAGTTTAAACCCAATAATATTCGGGAACGATAAATTCAATTTATTTAAATTTATATAAATCATATGCATACGGGTTTATCTTTGATGGTTGGGCTACTGACATACAAGTAATTCTTGCCATTTTCCGTGAAGCACGCCTCGACCAGGCTTTGGACTGATGTTTCGTCCTGAAAAAGGAGGAAAGCGTAACCTTGGAATTTATTTTCATAAATTTCCATTAAGTATTTTTTTTAAAAAATCAATAATAAAAAGTATTTTATTGTAAAATTTTTAATTTAAAAAAAAAGAACTAAATAACTGCTAAAAGGGGAAAATAAAGATTACGGTTCAACTCAAGGAAATTGCCGTTACAAAGCTGATATATTTAAATTTCTTTTAGTCATTATAAAATTGATTATAAAAGCATTTTCAATACGTCTTAACCCTAACCCATATCTCTCTAACTTTTAATCAACCCTAACCCATATCTTTCTAACCTTTAATCCATATCCTTAATTCAGATACTTTTTTAAATTCCTTCAGTTGAGCTATTATAGGAAAGGGAAAAATACGAATGAAGCGAGAAAGGAAGGATAGAATATAAGAAATAGATGTAAATATGAATAAAAGAATATAGAAGAGGGGAATAATTATGAGAATAAAAACCTTTAGGTGGAAAGAAAGATTTGCTTTCGGCTTTATGAGGCCAGTCAACTAACAAAAACCCGAAATGTCTAAAACTGTTGGTTATTTCTTCTGCGAATGTTTTTTTATATTTAAAAAATGTACATTGGGTTTAAAGAATAAATGTATAATTTCTGAATTTTTTTTAAAATCAAATAATTTCCTTTTTTAATCCTTTATTTTCTTTTATAATCAATTAATTCAGATAAATAAAGTCCAAAATAAATGCGATACATAAATTTTTTAGATCGATACAAATTTTCATTTATATTTTAAAATTTTGCCGAAAAAATTTCCGTAACATTAACATATAACCAACCTACACCATATCGATTTTACAACAAAAACATTTCGTTGAAAATTTGCGAAAGGTCATTTCTAAAATAAATTTTCAAAAAAGAAATGTTTTTTTCTCCTTTTGTCGTTTTAAAAATAAACATCGATTATATCAAAATGCAAATTATAAATATAAGATCGGTCCAATACTCAATCGAAACGACTATTAATATTGATTAATAAATACACACGAAATTTAAGGTCAACCTTTTTAAAATAAATATCAAAGTAAAAATACAAATTCCAACATTCTAAATAAATCAATTTTTATGCAAACAAAATATAAGAATTTCGTCACTGGAAACGGATTAATACTAAATTAAGCTCACTAAGCAAAAATTCAAATTTATCATGTTATTAAAAACTGATATAATTTAGAAAAATCTTATTATTTCCTCTCAACTTTTCCACCATTTCATTTTTTTCAATCCGTCATTCTTAACTACATTTTCTTTCTTTATTTATTTCATATCTTCAACGACCATACATATATCTCGCCCCAAAAAAACAACAAGCAACCTTCGTCTATATCGGGAGGCAGTCCTCCGACGAACACTTTCCTAGAGAATTTTTCATTACTCCCATCATCCAATCCAGATTCAACCTGTGGGCTTAAACCAGTAGCTATTTTATTAGCAGAACCGTTAAGAGTGGCGTGAGGGTACATCAAGGCTACCAGCTTATCGGGGTCGGTCATCAACAGTTGATTTAAGTTAAGAGATTGCAAATCGCCGTAATCGTCTGTGTTATTGGAATTCAAATGGGGGTACTCATATCCTATTGGTAGAGTGTTCGGTGAATGTATAGGTATTGTCGCGTATTCTAAAAAAGTAAAAAATGATTATTTTTTTAAAATAGGAGTACACAGAAACTATAAAGCTTTGAAAGTAAGTTATTGCGTTTTTTTAAATATTCTATCTTTCTTTTAATTTATTAATAATCTAAAGGGAGTTTGAGTCATATTCTAGAAAATCTAATAAAAATGCTTTTACTTACCTTTATAATATTGACAAATAATTCATACTAGGAAGGTGTATTTCGAATCTCTCATTGGGTGTTAACTTACTTACTTAATTTTAATTCTTTTCAACAAACTCTAGTTTGCCTTTTAAACCGTTCACATTCTGAACATCCTTATCTACAAAATATATTTTTTCGTTTTCATCATCGATATTTTTATCTATTGATAATTGCGTTTCAAAAATATATATTTGGAAGACATGTGCATTATATATAATAATATTTATACCTTTTCCTAAAAAAAATCAGATTTCAGACATTTTAGATTTCTTTTAATCAACACTAATATAATAAATGGTTAGAATTATTAATTTTTTTTAAAAAATACCTTTCCTGTAGTCAAATTAGGGAGAAAATATGTGCTAGATTACTTTCCGAAATATTTGATATAAAATAAAAAATTCGTTTGTGTTTATTAAATATAGCTGGAGCTTTTTTTAAATAAAACGGGCAAATATTGAGATATCAAAAATAATCTAAAAATTAAAAAATGATATTAAAATACAATCTGTTTTGTTTGCAGTGCAATTGTTTTAGGTAGTGTTGTTAAATGGCTCTGTTTTAGCCAATTATTTAAAACGGCTAACTCAATATTTTATCCAGGAAATATTAAGCAAATCTGCATATTTTGATCCATAGATAGAATAAAGATTTGGACATCTATTATCAAAAATCTCGAGGCTTAAGCAATATTTTTATTGCTAATATATTGAGTGAGCCGTTTTAAAAAATAGGCTCAAATCGAGCCGTTGTTTTAGGAAATAGGAAATAAACTGTTAAACCAATTTGATTTTTTTTAGCAAATCTTTAAAACTTAAATCATTTACACATACCGTTTTTTTTTAAATTTTGAAAGTATTTTCAGTTTGTAGAGAATAGTTTATCTTGTGAATATCAATCAATCGTGCATTATAATAAGTTTATAAAAGAAAAAAATCCGTGTCTTTCTTTCTATCTTCAAATTAGGCCACACACATTCTTTCTGCGAATTTCGAAAATATCAACTGTATTCATAAGGTCCCATCTAAAGTTAGTTACCGATGTTAACCAAATTTTAGGATCATATGTTTCTTATGCAGATTAAAACAATAAGGGTACAAAAAAATGTAAACCGAAAAATTATACATATTTTCAAAATTTAAACAATGTGTTGGAAAAAAAATTACCTCATCGAAAGAATATAGATTAGTTAAGCAAGCTTGGACAAAATATTTAATTTTTTGAATATATTTCGCAGTTAAGCCAAGGTATATAAAATATGTTATAGGCAGTGGGGTGTATCCAGGATTTCATTTGAACTTTTTAAAAAAAAATCGGAGCTCGTTTAAACCCTAAAACTGATTACTTAAATATGCCACCATTATGGGCAAAGTCTTTTCCTTATTCCGTAATCGGACAATCCGTTTTATAGCTTTAATCAATATTTCGTAATATCAAAATTGTCTGGAATTTATAGGGTTAAAGTGTTCTATACGAGTATATTTCCAATGTTTTTAATTTGAAAAATTGGATTTTGTCGAAGACATTGGATTTTGAGACAATCTGACAAGAGTCTTTGAGTCGTTTCAACTTGAATACTTGTAACACGCGGATTGCGTAAGATATTAGTCAGTTAATACATATTGCTTGCCACATACGAATAACAAAAAAAATGTAAAAAGATTGTCCTTTGTAAAATAAAAGAAAAATACGATTTTCAATGCGCATTTATGAAATTTTTTTATCGGCGTTTAAATAATGTTAGCAAACGTGAAATGCAAAACATATGTTAAGCCAAAAGGTTTCAGCCTTGCTTTGCTCATTTATAAATTTCCTTAGTTATAATAAAACAAAAAAAAATAAGAAATTTTTTGTAAAATTTTTTTTGAAAACCTTCACATCTCCACTACTTGAATATGAAATTGTTTGCCATGCAAAGGAATTAGAAGGAAAGGAGGTGCTTTCTAGAATTTATGAGAGCTACACTGGGTGTCTCTGAATATTTTTTAAGAGCAGATGTCGAATACAATCGATTTCTGAAAGTGGACAGGTAATTTCAGTGAATTAGCTGTTCAATAAATTTCTGGCCGCGAAACAATAAATTTAACAATTTATTATATTAATTGTTACACTCTTTCTTTTTTGAAATGTAAAATGCACTTCGAGGAAATTTGTCGTATATTTTCGGATAATATCCGCTGATTATGCAAAATATTTTTCTGACAAATCTGCCGACATTGGAATATTCTTTTATAAGTTAGCTTGAGCATGGAGTAAAGAAGTATAACTTAGTGTTAGTAATATGGAAGAAAAAACGTAAATTATTATAGTTTATATAAGGGAGATATTAGAATCGATATTCAGGCTTGCAGAGGAATTATTTAATTATTTCCTGAATTCTTCATTTTATTTTGCTTTACTTTTGGTCGAATTCGATATTTTAAATGTGAGAATTAATGAACTACAACGAGCTTAATTTGTCAAGCCCGGCCCAAGATTTTCGGATCCCAAGAGAATTTTCTTTATTTGTCCCAAAAAGCCTGACCCGAAATTTTAAAAAAATATTTATCAACCCGGCCCATCCCTAATAAAAAAATCAACAAATAAAAAATAATGGTGTTGTTTCTTGCAAGAATTTTAAAATATATCAATTTATTCTACATTGAGTGAGACCATATTTAAAGATTTAAGCCCGGCGGGCCAAAATTTGCAGATCTCTAGTGAGAGTATTATTATTATAAATTCATAAATGTAAAGAATTACCGGCCTATATTAAAAGAGCTTTCCTTGTTTTAACTTTTGGGTATATGCCGATTTTTAAAAAAATTTGGACGAAACAAATAAACGGATATTTAATTTTGTCAAGGATATAACGAAATCCGTGAAAAAAATATTACAAATTTTATGGAAAAAAAATATATATATAAATAAATATCCAAAGTCAAACTCATAGGTAAAAAATAAATATTTTAAAAAATGACATAATTTTATACTTGCCATAATGTAAAATGTGTGCAAATTTTTTTTTATAATAATTTACAAAAAAAGGTTATTTAAAAATACGATTTAAAAAAAATATATCAAGCACACAAAGAAAAATTTGGATCACGAAAACGGAGCAAATCTAACAAATATTTGTCAAAAAAAAGCCTGACTGAATTTGTTTTTTGAAGATAATTCTTATGGCAAATCTTATATAAAATAAGTTCTAAAAGATGCATAAAGAATAGATCTGTAAAGGCCGGCCTGCTAAGAATTTTCGCACAATTGTCCGACCCGGTCTATTAATTTTTTTTGCCCGCTCCCATTATAATTTGTTATAATATCTGCCAGCGCCGGTTCGGCTCAATAAACCGTTTATAATATATTTGTGTTTGATATCTGATTGTTTAATTGTGAATTTACTAAATTTTTTCGATAATATTAAATTTATCAAGTAATATCTTATAACATTATAAATAAAACCTATATAAAAAAAATTATACTTTAAAAATATATAAAATCAAACATGCATAAATAAAAATTATTTATCATGGCCAAATTTTTAGTTGGATTCCCAAAAAAGGAATAATTCTATATATTGAACATGCATTTTTGGCTGTAGGAAATAGATTTAGTATATAGACTACTCTAAATACAAAGAAATAAGCCTCCTGGTAAAATTTAAATTCAAATCGTAGATTTAATAATCTAAATATTAATACCCCGAGCAGCGCCAGTCTATTAAAATTTTACGAAAAATAAGAGATTTGCTATATAACTTGCTGGCCCAAAAAGTCATTAAAAAAAGAATAGAAAACACCATTATTACATCTTACAAAATAAAAGGGCTTTAAGACCATAACCTATTTTTAACTATATAATTATATTCAAAATTATTTTTGTTTAAATTTAACGCAAACTATAAATAACTTCCTTTTTTTCTAAATTTAAATAATATCAAATCCATTCAATCGATCGATTAGTTTTTTATTATTTATTTATTACCGATTTAGACAAATTAGTGTCATGTGGAAAAATGTTACACTATAGGTTTAGGGTCATCTAAATTTTAATAAACTTAAATGTCAAAGATGATGAGGCTAATTTTTCCTACCATTATTACCTTAGGCATAATTCATTCATTCATTTTTTCCTACGCTAAATTTATTTTAAAATATAACTTGGCCTCATTTTAAGATTAATGGTATAAATATTTCAAAATGACAACAAGAAATTGATTACACGGCACACGACACGAGGATGATTGTTTATTATACTAATGATTATATCTTAGCACAAAATATTATAAAAAAATATATTTATAGTTTTAAAAAAATAGTGGCAAAGTAAGCATGACTATGATAAAAATTCTAATTAATAACACTTTTTTATTTATATAAAAAATAAATGTATAAATTATTTCAAAAAAGGGGCTATATTATATAAATAAATAAAGTGGAGAAGGGTGCAGTGTAGTGTGTATATATAAAAGTAGGATAATTTTTTAGAAAATACTTCGGGGTTTCTCTGAACCTGTTTAGGATTTTAAACCTGGGTCGTTTTATATCTGATTTAATTTAAAATCTCGTTTTTAATAACGTTTCTTTTTTACATTCTTATTTGATACTAATTGGCAATTAAGAAAGCCTAGAGATTTTACTCAGATGGCAGAAAGGTTTGAACATCTATTAAGAAAATCTCGAGCTTTGCGTAATATAAATTGGCTAAAATTTTAATTTAAAATAGACTAAATCGAGCCGTTAGCAACACTACTCCATGCCCACCCCACCCCCAATTTAATGATTATCTTAATGCAGTTTTTAAATTTAACCTAATGTATGATAAACTATTTTTTATTAAAATTTTAAAGGCCATTAAAAAATCAAGTAGTGCCACTAAGAAAAAGCGAAGGGGCTAGCGCCCCCTCAAAATTTTGAAATTTTTTCTTATACCACTAAAAAAAATAGGTAAGTTAGTTAAAAGATTTTTGGGTAATGTTAGCTAAAAAAAGGTAATTTTTAAAATAATTTGAAAATTTATTTTGAGCCCCCTAAACTTGTAAAGGCTAGTGACACCCCTGTAAAAATCGCATTCAAATTAGAAACGATAAGATCAGACCTTCTTAACAATTGGATAAATGCTGTCTAAAATTAGAAAATAATCATCTTTTGCCCTAAATTTAACATTTAGCCTTAATGTACAAGAAAATACATAATAAAGAAAACTATAAATGGAATAAAAGTCGAAGAGCAGTAGAAATCATCTTAAACTGTACTCGAATCGAACCGCGCTCGATCTGTCAAGCTCAATCTGGATCTGACTCTTTTTTTTAAAAAAATTTTACCGAACCTTACCCAAAAATTTAATCGGAATTTTAATTATGACTTGGGAAATTTTTAAAAAAATTATCAATAAATATTTGAAAGGCCAAAAAATAATAGAAAGAAAAGTAAAAAATGAAAAGAAGATTTTTGGAAAACTATTTTAACCATTTTAAGCAAAATTTTTAAAAAAAAAATATCTAATGAAAGTCTACTAACCTAATACCCTAAATTATTATTTTTTCAAAAAAGATTTATTATATTTCTCGTATCGATCCATCCCTTTTAAGAAAATAATTTTATGGGAAAAAACATTAACTTTTCAAAAATTATATTTTTAAAATAGTTTCCGCTTTAAAAAATTTGAGTCGCCCTGCAAGGTCGGCCTGCGATTCGCGAGAAAATATAGGCCAGTAGCCCGAAATATACATTTCATATTCCCCATTCTTCTTTTCCATTGAATATTTAGAAAATTGATAAGGTCCAATGGCAAGTAGCCAAAAAAATAAATAATTTGCTATAATATAACCGGCTTCTTCGGCAAGCAATGATTCAATTTTTTAAATTGCCGACCGCATTTTAGAAGAAAACATATAAATCCTGATATATTATATTCTTTACTATTTTTCATCGCAATTAGAAATTGGTTTGAATCCTTTTCATTTAACTTCCTAAATGTTATGTGTCGTATTGGGATATGGAATCCATGCGGACTCTGAACCTCTCAATTTTAAATCATTTAAGTGATTTTTAAATTGGAATCACTGATTTGACCGGAATATATTCCAGCATATGTAGAGTAAATTACCCCTATAAATTTTAGACAATTTTTGGTTAGATTTTATATAATTTCGAATTTATATTTTTTTTTAAAAAAAGCTTTATAAAAAAATGAATATAAATTAAGTGTAGATCAGAAGTTCACGAGAAAAAATTGTCTAAAATTCAGTGTTCGTTCTCTATACGTATACTGGAATACATTTCCGATCAAATCAGATTTTTTTTCTCAATTTTAAAAATCTACCTGGGTCATGATTTAAAAAGTTAGATATTCTGAGATCCCGTATTCCATATATCCCAATACGACAAAATGTATTATATTTTGTAAAATCGAATAAAATTAGTTAACCAACAATCATAATATAATTAGAGTGATAGCTAAATGTTTATAAATTTAATATTTCCTTCCGTCATCCTTGTTGGAGTCCTGCAAGGAACATCACCAATAAAATCCTAGTCCAGCCTGTCAGGAAAAATATTTATATTATATATCCTTTATCTTTAAGTAAAAAAAAATTAGATGGAATCGAGAATATAATGGATAATCATTAATTTATCTGAGTTATTGCTGAATATTTAATATTGCATAACAGTAAAATAAAAATTGAGTGAGATTTTTCCCATATATGCTTAATTATAAAAATTCTAGCAGCAGACCTAGCCTAAATCTAAAGAAAAATTTATACTGGTGCGGGGGCGGGATGATTTTTTAAATATTTTTTAAGGTTTTATAATATCATTGCTCGAACAAAAATCATTAGATAAAGAGAGAAAAGATGGGAAAAATAACGTCATGGTAATTAATAAAAAGAGAAATCATGTGTGGCGTGTCAGTTTAAGGATTCCATCCTTCCGGCCATACACTAAATTGAAATTGTTTTATCATGCAATAGTGATTAAAATATGGTAAAGTCAACCTTCATAAAACTAAGATGCACACATCAGAGAAGATGGGAAGAAGGGAAAAAGGGTAATAATACAAAAAAAGAAAGGAAAGAACAAAAAAAGAAAGGAAACAAAAAAAGAGAGGAAAGAACAAAAAGAAGGGAAAGAATGAAAGAAGATAGTGAATGTAAACAACAACACAGAGTGGAAGGGAAATAGACCTAGGGAAAAAAAATTTATATAAATATTATAGATTTTTTTTGTTTTCACTTGAATTATTATATATATTTTTTTAAACAAATTTTTAATTCAAGGTTAAATAATTTGGGTATAATTTATTATATTTACAATCGTAATGTTTTACCCCCTCCCCTATTCCTCCCTTTCAAATACATGATGATATCGAGTTTATTATTATTAATGATAATAATATACAGTTTATTTATTTAATTTAATGAACAACAAAAATTATTGATTTTGACATTCATAAAATGATATTAAATATCGCGGTCCAAATTTGTATAAGAGTAAAATGGGGGGGGGGGGGGGGATCATTTTCACCAAAATAAAATTAAATTTATTGGAAGCGAATGAATATAAAATAAATATTATTGGGGGAGGGGGAGGGGTTGTGTCGACTTCCAAAAAAGTATAAAATTTAACTTAAAATTGAGGATGTGGGGAGCGAAAGGAGATATAGATGAAGGGGGGCCAAAAAAATATTTTTGGCAAAAACAACGTGCTTAATTTTTGTATTAAATTTTGATAAAAATAATAAATGAAAAAGAATCCAAAAAAAAATAAAAGCGTAATTTTTTAAAAAATAAATAAAATAATATTAGAAATGAAGAGGTATGTATGATGAACGACCCAAGTTATGTAATTATTTATAAGAATTATTAACCGCGAAGAAGGGATGTAGATAAAAAGGGCTTTTTCCAAAATATATAAAAAATTTCTTGTCAATTATAATCATTTCCATTTAGTGTTGTTAAACGGCTCGTGAGCTGATTTTTAAAAACGGCTAACTCTGTATTTTATCCAGAAAAATATTATGCAAGCCTGAAAACTTTGTTTATAGAAGGAGTAAAGGTCTAGACATATGGTATCGAAATTTCGAGGCTTAGTCAATATTTTTCTTAACAACATTATTTCCATTTTATATTAAGATTTCATGTAATAATTTTTCTTTCTTTCATAATAGTGGGCACAAATTGAGATTTTGCATTTTTTTAAATAAAAAACGTAACGCGTCCGTTGTTTAAATTGAGTTGATTCAACATTTTAACATAAAAATTATAAATTAAATTCTGCCCTTTTATTTCTTTAATTTCTAAATATTCCATTTTTTTACATTGTACAATATTAAATTTAATTTAGGAAGGGTTTTTTAGTACCCTCCCCCCTTATTATTCTTATCTACAAGGTTTTCTCGACTTGCTTGTGAAGAAAACAAAGTACTTAAAGAACTGGCAGTAGAACAACGTGTAAAATGAAAGAATGAGTATTGAAAAAAGCAGGGGCCCGAACCTTTATTTATAACGGTTCAGTTTGGTTACGGTTCAATATGTAATAATTATAATGGTTACGGTTCGGTTACGGTTCTTAAGAAAAAATTTATAAAGTTTCGGTTCGGTTCAGCTAATTGTAAAGGTTTATAAAGGTTCATTACGGTTAGAAATTTTTTTCAAAATTATTTTTATTAATTGTATAATGATTTTAATAATTAATATTATTTATTTAAATTATTGCCATCACTTAAGTTAATATATCGTTTATTTATAAAATAAATGAAATTTATTTATTTTTATTATAAGCATCTCTGAATAATATATAAGAATCATAACTCATTTCTAAATATATTATTTGAACGTATAAGTAATATATTTTCTAATATAAGTGGATCCAATTTGTTCTTTGTGACGATAACACAAATTTTAGCCCCAAAAAGGCCAAAAGGCCCTTTTAACAGAAATTGTGCTACAGGAAGCACAAGTATTATGAGAGCAAGTTTATAAAATTCTGGATATTCAAATATTTTTGATTCCCAATATACAAAAACTGATGATATTTTAGATTAATTAAATGTAACTAAATCAAAAATTGGTTATTTAGATATTTTGCATATTAAAATTTAGGAAATAGGAATGCTCTAATATTATATGAAACAATTAATTAAAAGATTGTAGATCAATTTAAGTCATAGTGAAAAATTAATACAAACTTAAACAAATATTTTGATCATTTAATAATTATAAATAACGACCAAGATATGGCAAAATATGTAATGCACCACAAGGAAAGAATGTTAAAAAATGTAAAATTATTTATTTTATTTTGGCTGAAACAGGTTTAAACGTTCTTTTAACTACAAAAAATTAGTTAAGATTACGTACGGTTCAAATATTCTTAACGGTTTAGTCGATAATTCTTCACTCCGGGTCCCTAGAAAAAAGCAAACCTGCTTGCATTTTTTTAAATGGTTTTTAACGCCAAGCGGTAATTTGACCAATTTGCACGCATTTAAAATGCATTATTTACGTTTGCAACGTTCAATTTGTAAGTCCTTTTTTTTATAATTTCTATCATTTTGTCTATAAAATGCCTACCTTTCAACTAACTCTAAAATACTAGGTGAATTTTTTTAAAATAATTTATATAGATTTGTAGGTCTTTCGAATTGAAATAAAAATGAAGGTCTCGTACCTCAGTTATATACTAATATTAGAGATCGAAAATAATGGATATTTATATTAACCTCTATGAAAAGCAGTAGATTTCTGTTGCGTATGTTGAATTGAAGAAAGGGAAGGTAGAAGGTTGAGCAAATCGACGGGTTCGTCTGGGACATGCGGATTATAGTTGGAGGAAGCTATTAATATATCGGAAACTAAGGACTTCCTGTGCCCTTGGGAATAATCACACCCTCCCGTATCACCGTTAAAATAGCTGCTAACAACTTTAAGATTAGGGTCATTCATTTCGTCAATATTAGAGCCCTTTACCCCCCGATTTTTGGCGTCAAACATATCATCATCTTTAAAGGTATTTGAAGCCGTGGAGTTCAAGTTCAGATTATTTAAGAGTTCCCTCAGAATGAGAGTTTCGAAATCGTTTTCGTTCGAGTTCGTTTTTTCGGCAGATTGTTTATTCGAGTGAGAAACGTCTTCTTCGGTTGAAACGGACCTGTCGACGACTATACCGGAGTCATCTTGACCGGATGATGGCGAGAAACAGAATTTATCTCTTTGAGCGAAATTTTGATAGGGTGATGTCAAAGTCGACGCCAATATATCTTTTCTAGCGGCGGCTAGGGTGAGAGGGCTTACGGGTTTTCCATCCTAAAAATAAACATGTTTCACATATTTTAATATTCAATCCATAAAGTATTCACTAAATATATTTGGACATCTTGAATAAGTCCCATAGAAAGGTTTTTTTTTAATTAAATGCATGTTTAATTGCATAGGGTAATCTTTGAGGATTTTCCTATACAGTCAGAACTTGTCTAATTTGAGTCACGAGCCATATAAATTTAAATTTGCGGGAGTCCCAATCATAACCACGCTATTACGTAATGATTGGTTTGGGTAGAGCCCTACAAAGTCCGAACCGATTAAACAGACATTTGCTCGTACTCGGTCGAATTTTTCGGACAGAACCGGAACTTCTACAAAACTCTTAAAATTTTTCTAATTTCGTTGAAATATCTTTACTTTTTCAACAGTCAAATTAACAAACATCGGATCAGAAGGCGAACTTGAACCTTTGAAAAAAAAATTCATTGGGCAAAAATATTTTTAAAAAAGAGAATTTTCAGATGAGGTTGGACTTGAAAAAATCAAGCTCGATGCAAGACTCTAGTTTGAGTTAATTGGATTACGTTTATTGATTTAAAAAATTAATGCAAATTCGGAGAATTGTGGTAGTATACTTTTATGAGGGCAAATTTTTTTTATAAATGTATTATAACTTAGCTTTCTAACAGTATTATCATAACAATTATGCCATGTGATAATCCCTGTTGATATTTAAGTGCATAAGAAAAAAAAAATATCGCTGATATTTAAAATATGTATTTAGAGAAGAAAAAATCCATAATCAAAATTGACCTTAAGTTATCATATCAGATGGAATTTTTCAGAAAAATAAATCAATATAGTTCAATAATAACCCTTAATTGCATAAATATTTATAAATAAGTATTCATATATATTGAAAAGTTATTATTTAAAAAAACCTACAAAACATCATATTGAGGCATATCACGCTAAATCAGTAAAAAATAAGAGATGCATTGGTATAAACTTTTTATTAATAATAGCGATACTAACAAGATATAAAATTTACTAATGTTTAATGTTTCAATGGGGAAGAAAAATTAATTATAAATGTGATATGCATTTTGTCTTCCCAGTTCTCAGGTCTACCCAATTGCTCCAAAATATTTTTTCCAAGATAATATTTAAACGTTTTGTCAAAGGATAATATTAAGAACAATTTAATTCATCAATGTTATTTATTAGAAACCTGCAGGTCCACCTGCCTCAGCCCTGTAGGAATTTTTAAAATAATCCCAGGCCAGGTCTTCAGCAATAAGGCCAGGCCGAATATCCTGAAATTCGACTATTATCATATATAATAAAAAAATATAATACATTTTAAAATTGTATTATAGAATGATATACCAAATTCATTCACTTCTCATATTTCTTATTTCCATTTCAAAGTCATTTATCTCTCATTAGAAAATACTTAACTTTATAAAATAAAAGTAAAATAGTTTTTAAATTATTCACTAATTATAATAAATTTAATCGCATAAAGAATATGAATAATATGTTTTATTTAAATAATCAAATTATTAGGAATAATTATTAATGTTTTTTAATAAAATTTTGTCATTTCTATAGATAACCAGTCTTATGTTATAAACAAGATATATCAATGACTTATGAAAGTCTTTTATGAGTTGGAACTAATTTGCTAATCAAAATGCCATTATCTCTTAATTTTGTTAATAACTTTATGGCATGTACTTCCTCATCAGATTATTTTATCTATTTAAAATTAGACCTGCAAATAAAAAAAATTATATCAATATACTTTTGTATGAATTATTTTATATAACAAAATAGTAATTATATATAAGAATACAAATAATAAATTATTTGATTTGTCAATTTGTCATTTTTAAATAGGTCTAGCATGAAGTATTAATGATATTTTATTATGTCAGAAGGACTCGCACCTGGTGGGTAATCAAAATTATGAACAATTGTTATCTCTGGGATAAGGAACTCTACCCAAATAGACAATCAAAATTATGAACAATTGTTATCTCTGGGATAAGGAACTCTACCCAAATAGACAATCAAAATATTAATATGTGATAAAAGAGTTATGAATTTAATTTGGCATTGGCTAGTAGTATATTAGTAAAAATAAAAAATGAAAGCAGCAATTGATACCAATAGTAGAATGCACTACTGGTAAATAAAAATAAATGATAATTTTAAAAATTAAAATTATGTATATTACCTTTTCAAATGGTGAAATCTGTTCAATATCATAATCAATCTTTTTGCAATCAACACCAGAATCCAAGGATTGGTTGATAGTCCGACTAGATTTTAAACCTTCTGGTCCAACAGTACCCCGCAACAACTGATCCAGCTTGAATTTAAGAGCAGGAAATTTTTGTAGCAGAATCCCCAAGGCATTAACAGAAGTATCTTCTGTGTCACAAGCAGGGTCATTGTTGGAAGAACAAAGAGAGGCTAACAAAATAGCTGCCATCTTATCCAAATTGATTCCACTATTGATGTTATTTAGATTAGGATTAGTACTGACTGGGGGTTGTTTGTGGTGAGTGGGTAAAAAATTGTCAACACTTTGGTAAGAGTAGGAACCAAATATGTTATGACTGCCCCTTTTGCCAGGGTGAGGCCCACCAATGTGGGAAGGATGAGGGTGATGTTGATGAAGGGAATTGGTAGGATGGTTATGATGGGTCAAGGTGTTTCCTGTTATTGCTCTAAGTGGGTTTTTATTTGAAAATTGGTGGTGATTCAAGTGGTGTGTACCAGTCATATGACCATGTGAAAAGTTATGTTTGGTTCCTACAAACGAGGAAGATTTGCCATGAAAGTAAGGTACAGAGGTAGAGGGTTGGAGGTTATTACTGCCCTGGTTATTATTGAAAGTTGGTTTTTGCTGATGTTGGTTTTGTTGCATATAATGATGGGGCTGTTTTGGAAAATTTACATGGTAAGGTAGAGATGATGAGGCCTGATTAATATTTAAGGATTTATAATTATTTTGGATGGTATAAGGAATTCTGGCAGATTTTGAAGAGATGGATTTTATAGATAAGTCTTCATTTTGATGATAGTTTGAATTATTAGTGGGCCATTGATTTGAACTAAAGAGGGGAGATGGGACTTCATTGCCTTGAGACCATTTAGAATTTTCACTAAAATTGAAATGAGGATTGAAAGAATTTTGCTGGTCCAAATCTAGCTGACTATTAGGGTTATTTAGAAAGTAGTTACGGATGCTTTCCAAGTTTGCTAAATCATTGGGACCTAGGTTTGATGGGTTGCCTGTGTTATAACTGTGATCAAATGACTTTGCTGATCTTGGATAACTTGGTGTAGAGTCGTTTATGTTGAGATCTGGGGTGGGAAGCGAATGGTGCTTTTTGGAGAAAGAGTAAGGAGGAAATGTGGGAAGGGGATTGAATATATCATATGATTTATCATTAAAATCATTGTTTGGATTAAGGGATAATTCATTTTCATAGTTTTGTTGTTGCTTGTTTTGTGTGTTCAAAAATAAATCCAAACTTTTGGGGTCATTATTGAAAAGCTGAAAAAGGTTTAAAGTGTTAGTAGGTGACATTGGCACATTGAAACTAAACTTATCACTGATTGAAGTGGAAATTGTTTGATCATTGTTCCATATTGAATCAGGATTATTAGCATTGAATTCATGTTTATGATTTAATGGCACATAATTGTTATAATTAAGAGCATTCCAATCATTACTGACTTGCTTATCATTCTTATCCTCACTACCAAAAGTTATAGAATTTTTGGCATTCTCTCTATCTTCAGAATTATTATTTGATATAAAATTGTGATCCGTGGTAGTATTATCAAAATTAAATAATTTGTGTCTAGGTGATAGGCTTTCTCCTGAATAAAAATAAAGAGGGTCATTTTGAGTTGCAAATTGATTAAGTTTGGATGAATTATTTTTTTTACTGGCTTCTTCATATGATGGACTAGAATTTTTATCTAACTGGGTTTCAGCTTCAGATGACCCAAATATATTTTGCGGAGAAAAAGAAGTGATAGGTTGACTAGAAAACATTGTAATTGATGCAAGGTTAGATGTTTGAGGAACAATCACTAATTGTGCCATGATGAATAAGTATCATGTTTTTCAGCTTAATTTGATTCATATTGAATAATTGGTAATTATTGGAGAAATCTTGTAATAATCGATTTTGGAGAAAATAAATACCCGTCCTTGAAACAAAAAAATCGAAAACGCTTATCGAAATTATTTTTTAAATTTGGAAGTGATCAGCATTTAACACTCTAGGATGATAAAGATTTTAATAAAAACTTTCTATTATATTGATTATATGCACAACAGTTAAAATAAAAGGAAGTTTTTGTAAAAATTATTCCAGTCTTATATTTAAATCTGTATATTGAATTAATACTGATTTCCTATTTCGTTGTATCCTTTACTGCTTCAAGATATAATATCTTAATTTTTACATGCTAAGACGGACACTCATTACAATTTAAAACTAAAGTGATCTATGTATAATCAACTAAACTGCTTCATAATAAAATATCTTAATTTTTACATGCTAAGACGACATCCATTACAATTTAAAACTTAAGTGAACTTTGTATAATCAACTAAAATTAATTATACTAAATAAACAGTATTTTTGATTGAAATATAAAAAATTATTCTAAAAGATTTTTACTTTTCCAGAATAACATCCATGATTAGAAAATATCAATGGTCTGGTTTGAGTTTAGAATTTTGAATTAGTTATGGGGAATCAAGCTGCACAAAAAAAAAATTGAATATATTCACTTGCCTATGACTAGATATTTCACAAGCGATTGTTGTATTTACTATTTAGCAACAGGGATATGAAATAGATGAAGAAAGATATGCAATTTACAATACTATATATTTTGAATAAAGCAGGGGCGTCGCTAGCCTTTACAATCTCAGGGGGCTCAACTAAAAAAAAATTTTATGGGAGGCTTCGCCCCCATACCCCCAATTTGCGGGCCTTCGGCCCGCTTTTCCCCGTTTTATATTAATTTATTATACTTTTTTAAAACTCTCAGCAATTAATCTGATTTTTATATTTTGTCATTTATTATATTATGCATACAAAATAAACTGGTATATAAAAAATCACATAATGCAATAATAAAATTCTTAGTAACTTACATTGACAAAAGGTTATCAAACTAGTATAATTCTCTGTAACCATTTTAGACAATGTTTTATAGAATGGACTAATAAGGAAAAATTTATAGGCCTAAACCAAATCAACAATTTTTGAAGGAGAGAGTATAAACGACCAATCCAAATCATAAAACTATATGGTGGTTAGAGCTTCCTCTTAGATGACATGATGGAAGTTAGATAAGTAATCGAGAAAATTATTGTGAGATATTAAATTTCTAAAAGATTATCTTCCATTTTAAATGATATATAAACGACTACGCAGTTGACCATTTTTATCTAAAATATGCAATTATATGCTCTCAGCCGTTATAGTAAATCTTAAATTACATAGCAACACAAATAATAGATGTTGGGTAATTTGCAGTAATAGCCTGACACTCATGATGTAAATTAATATCAGAATTTATTATATTGGATAAATTGATAGAATAAAAACACTAAAAATCTTTGGAAGAAATAATTATGCAAATATATTGAAGCCTGGAGTTATTTACACGGCAATGCCATATTAGAAAAGAAACATTTTCTAACTATAAAATAAGGACCAGAATGATATGATGAAACAATTAAGATTTTATATATTGTCGCACACCTTGGTATATTATATCTTAAAATAATAGTAGTTTGTAATAATATCAAAAATATACTTGTGTTAAAAATTTAACTCAAGACTGTTTTTCGAAAAAGAAAAAAAGAGCTTTCCTAAAAACACTTTAAAAAAAGAAGAAAAGATATCAAATTTATTACATCTATTGCAGGATAATAATAAAATGTTTAATTTTAAAAATTATTTATAAGCAAATAGATGGCGTTAAATACTTGAATGCAATTTGTTATTATATTTATTATCAAAACCATTTATTAGTAAAATTTATTATAATATTAACTGTAATATATTATATAACTGTCAAATACGTCTATAAAATTGACATTATATCTAAAATTTTATAAACACCTGTATAAGAGGATTATAAACTAAATGTCTACTTACTTATTATAAAGAAATCTATACTTATTTGCAGTGTCTACATGGCCGGGGTGGGTTGGAGACAAATGCCTACAAAATATATTGGCATTTTGGGGGTGGTATTAATTTTGGGGGTTGATATTAATTTTTTGGGGGTTGGCATTAATTTTTGGAGGATAGGTATTTATTTTTGAGGGGTAGTCTATCACTTGATTTATATTCATTTTGAATCCAATAACTTATATGATATGATGTTTATCGTTGATCTTATTCTGACAAATGAATTAAAAAGTTATCTGTTTATCAACAATTTTTTCTTTTTGAATTTTAAGCCTCTTTATTTATTTATTTACCATATTATTTTGCAATTTCACACTTAAAATATTAATATTATGCTTATTTGATAATTTTCTAAAAGTATAGAGGTTAATAATATATATTATATTTTAAATAATAAATTTCAGTTCCTATATATCAGTTAAGGATATAATAAATCATTTAAAATTTTAGCAAAATACTTTAAATATTGTTATTAAAAATAAGATTTTCAGTAGGTAAACAAATTTTAACTCTATTCTTTATTTAATAATTAGCAAACATCCAAAGTTATTGACTATTCCTAGATTATATTTTCTTCTCATTTAATGATCAATTCCAATGGAGAGACCCAAGCAACTCTTCCTTGAATTTTTTTAATATATTTTTTGCGCATCTCTTTTTCTACAAATAAAAATGACTAAAATTTAAAATATATATAATTTATTTATTTTTCATCCCATCCCAAAAATAATAACATTTCCATACTGTCATATTACCTAGAGTGCGTCGATCAGAAAATATAATCTTTAATCAAATAATCGTTCAACCCTAGCACTTGAGGGCAATGCAATATTAAATTTAACATATATTTTTTATATAAGAAAAATCATCAAAAATTGTCATTTGATTTTATAGATTTAAAAAAATGCGTCTAAAAGATTTTAAATAATACTATTTATTCCAAAAAAACCATCTCTTTTTAATGTGTCTAAAATTATAATAGTAATGGTTAAAATAAAAATTATGTAAGGGGTAAGTGCCATAAATGGCTATGTTTGCTGACTGGCCAGGTCAACATCCTATAACATTTTATCTATTTCACTAAAATTGTTTAAAGTCTAAAATACTTATTTCAATAAGTATTTTTTTAATTTTACAAAATCTATTAATAGATATGGTTAATTTTAAACACGTTTAACATCCAGGTAATAATTTATAAAATATTGAGTCTGATGATAAAATGAAAATTTAATATTAATTATTTATTGTAATTTTTAATTTATACTATAGTTCTTGATTAATATCTTATATGTGTGAACTAGGCCTAAAAATATTTTCAAATAAACTCATCTTTCTCAAATATTAAAGATACATTCAAGACCGTTTAATTGCGATAGCTTGGGACCGAAATATTTAAAAATTTCGCAATTATCCGATTTTTCGCAATTATACGATTAAAATTCAACAATTTATTTATTAAAAATCAGTTGTGTTTTTTATAAAGATATTTATCATCTATATATATTTTAATCATATAAGCCATCAAACTTTGCAATAAATACAATTTTTAATTAATGTAACCAACTATATATTTTAATTTGAATAAGTTATGTAACGAATAAAAAAACTAAATTTTAAAAATTTATCTTATTTGTTGAAACATATGATCATAGCTTTTTTTTCTTCCCACCAATAATCCTATATTTTTATCGTCAATTCATCAAGTTATTATTTTATAAAAAGTATTCAATTAATTTAGATCAATCAAATAATATTAAAATATCTGAAGCACTTGAAAGTAATGTGATATATTTTGATATATATATTTATATTTTCTCTAGATCTAGACATGATTATAGACAGAAAGGAACAAAGAAAACAAGACTTTTAATTATAAAATTGTAATTATTTATGTATTATATTTATGTATTAGCATTATAGTTGTTAATAAATTATTTTTTATTGAATAAAATTATTTCAATTAAATTTGTTTACTTGATTTTATCTCATTTTTTATTTAAGATATGTAAGAATTAAAGCAAAAAAAGCTTTTGTGAAAGATAATAACATTTTTTCCTTTACAATACCCTAATATTTATTTCCATCAATTTTAACTACTTTTGTCATTTTACCTTCATTAAATTTACTGAAATATAATTTTACACAAATAATCATTTTTTAAATTCTAATTTATTATTAAAGCCAAATTTTAAAAGATTTTGCCTAAAAAACTGGAAACAATAAGATTAATATAAAAGAATTTAAGTTTATTAAGTGTTTTGTTTTCATTCACATGATATTTGATTTAAAATCCTGTGCCTATTCAAATCTTATGAATTCTATTATAAATGTAAATGTATTAACAGATGCTGGAATGAAAGTTTATTAATGCTTTATAACATTAGATTTTATTTGAACTAATTTTATTATACATGCATCACAATTATTATAAAGTAATGTAAGATTTAATAAAAATATTTTGTGATAAGAGTTTGGCTAGACTCTGGAGTAAATAATTCTTTTTCCACTATAATCTCTAGCTTTCTTAGTGAATCTTGATCCCTTAGATGTTCATGAGCATATTCAAGAAAAGTATAATAACCATTAAGAGCCTGATTTTTTGTAATTAAATGATCAGATATCTCTAAGTTCCCTTCGTCATTCTCGGAGCTTTCATAACCTTCTATAAAAAATAAGATTAATTAAAATTTTAAGTAATTAAACCTTCCAACTCTAATCTTATCTGATTACAAATATCCTGATCATCTAAAATTCCATGGCAGCTAGCATCATCATCTTGTAGCGTATATTCTTCAAATATGTCAAATTCATCTTCTTCGTTGTCAGTTAATGCTATATCATCCTCCGATTTCCAATCAAATGCCATAGACTTATCAAAAAATTTAGCTTCAATAAAACACTTTAAGATTGTGGTACTTGTCGCCTCACCCCATGCAAATTTTATAAGATAGAGGCTATCGTAAAGTGTAAATCTTT